CTAGCAGCTGGCACTTCAGAAGAAATTGTGGTTTTTTTTCCTGCAGCTAAGTTGTAGTACTGAACAGTATCTGATAAGAATCTGAGCTACCCTGAAGTAGAGATTTTTGGAATTCTGCATCAAGAGATGGTTTAAAATCTTTTCCCCCACCTTCCTTTTGCAGTTTAATTTCTCAAGATAAAAAGGAAAGAGGACAGTAGAAGGAAAAGATGACTAGCTGAAATGGGGATTGCAGTCTTTGACCTCCTTTGCTGCTAATACACTGTGTATTTTAAGAAAACACACTTGCGTTTTTTCCAGTTTTATTTTTACTTACTTAAAATTAAACAAGGAGCCCCCTTAAAATTAAACAAAGCCCCATTCAAAGTCATTTAGTATAATGGTGGAAAATATGCAAATATATACACATTAAATAGCATTGCTGTGGGGAAAAAAAAAAAATCCCACTGAACTGTTTCTCTGTCCCATTTTAGACAAAGTTATAACTCTGAAGTGCCACTACACCGACTATTTTCCATTTGGGTAGGTAGACTACTCCAAATGTGAGATCCTGATATTCCCAGCTGTGAATTGCTGGAATAAGAAAACACACAAATGCACTTATAGAAGGACAAAAGGTACAATGTAATACTAATCTATTTTAGATTATAATTCCCTTCTTTACCAAATTCTTCTCACTTTTTTATTATTTTCCCTTTTCAAAATAATTGACATTCCATCTCAAAATTTAGAGTAGTAACTAAAATTGGCATGTGCATGTGTATGTAAAAAACAAACCAAAACAAACAAAAAAAACCCAAAAGGTAAAACAAAAGGAAAAACCCCACAAAATACATAGCAACAGATATTTCTACTGCACACAACAATACATGTAAAGGAGTAAATTCACTAAGGAGGATGCTAGACGTATACAATTCATCTTCAGCCCTAAATTGGAGATGTAGGAAGCAATAACCAGTCAGAAATCCTCCACCTTCAGCATCACAAAAAATTTGTACTCAAACCATCTTTGTGCATCAAACTGCTAATCTAATAATAAAGCTTATGAATTGGAGTAAAAAGGAAAGAAATAAAAAAAATCCTGAAGAGTAATTGGTAGTTTACTGTCAAAATGGGAGATGTCCAAAGTGGATTCTGCAGGGGATTGTCCTAAGTTTGGTGATTTTGAGAATTTTCATTAGTCACATGCTTTATGGAATAGCAAATAGGCCCACTATGTTTACAGACAAAACCAAGCCAGGGGAACGGCAAGTATACAGCAGTAAAGGATTAGAACTAATTTTTGACGAACTTGAGAGCTACTGGGACCAAAAAACCCACCCCCCACACCTTCCACGAGATACACGTATAAAATACTGCTTTTAAGCAAGCCAGATCAACTGCTCAAACAAAGAATGAGGAATAATTTCTTAAAGCTGAGGTTCTACTCAGAGATGAAGGGACTATACCATCAATCAGTAAGCAAGAAATTAAGTGATCACCATACTGATTTATACAAATAGAAGCATTATCTGGCAATGCCTCATGCTAGGGTACTGTTTTAGCACTTCAAGGGAGACGTGGGCCACCTGGGAAGAACCCAGAAAAACAACAGTGAGGATGGTCAGAGTTTTCAAAGAAAACTGGTATGGAAGAAAAAAACCTCTCATATGAAAAAAACTCTTATATGGAAGAAGATAGAATGAACGGTGGTTTTTTAGCCTTCAGAAGGTAAAATCATTATACAGTGCATAGTGACAGGAAAACCATCCATTCTTTTTTTTTGGAATGGTCTTAAGTTGCTTCAGAGAGTAGGTTAATTCTTAGGTTAATTCTAAGGTTAACAAAATAGTTGAATAAACTGCTTCTGAAATCAAAACCAAATATCTGTATAGTTATAGCTGAGTCCTGCCTAGGTTCAGGGGAAGGCAGGCCTCTTCTACCTCATGGTCATATGCAACAAAAATCAAGAATTACTGAATGGGTAGATTCTACTGAGAGTTAAAAAAAGAGGTAATAAGATTTTGAACTAATCCAGAAGTTACCTGCATAAATTTTGAAACACTCCCATCATTCACACAGCATTCAGGCTGCATAATTTAACATTGCCAATAAAAGAGAAATTCAGCCATGGAAATGTATAAAAGTCTATGGAAATACCAAATAATCCATCTACAAGCTTCAGTTTTGTCTTTATGCTTTGATATTCTATACTCTGATATTTTATTGAAAAATTACTGAAAATTACATTCTGTGCATCTTCATTGATGGACAGTACTAATAACATTACAGCACTTGTAACTGTCCCTGCAAAACACTGCAGGTAACATGGAATAAGTATTTCTGTACATACATTTGCTATTTTAAAAATAAATAAAATCTAAACCCACATAATCTGTGGAGTCTACCTTTACCTAGATTTACTTACATAATCAAAAAGGTATGCATTTAGTGCTCCTGTTCCATCAACCAGTGTAAACTTCATAATAAAAACATACTGGAGCGGCTCAATACCTAAAACTAAAGGAAAAAAAAAAAAAGATCTGTTTGTTAGAGCGAATATGCAAAAGACAAACCATAATAACTCAAGCGACAATATCCCTCCTTTAATAGTAACTGACTTGGAATACTGTCATTAAAAGTATAAATTGACAGGTCAAAAGATAGAGGCTCTGAATAGCAAAATGTGGTTCGTATTTTGAGAACGCATTGCAATTTGCCTAGAAACATTTTAATAGATGAGTCTATAAAAATGCAGAAAGATTTTTAAGTACTTATTCTCATCCTAGTAAAAGAAATGCTAATATTTGCTTAGATCTTAGATCCTACCTTGGTAGGATCCTCCTACTCCTCTTATCCATGGAAGATTAAAGGAGACTTGCTCTTAATTCAGTGATAATAAGAAAGCATTCCACCTGAAAACATCTTCTGAAGAAAACAATTCGTTTCATATGATCTCATAAAAGCTACTAGGCAAAGTCTTATTCAGAAAAACTTTGCTGGCAGTTCTGAAAATATTCCAGCATAAGTAAATGACTATAGTCATTCTCTCACTGGCAGCAGCAACTGTTATACTGCAAACATAAAATATTTTAAACAAAGTTATTGCAACTCTGCATCAATCTTTTCTGGCCACTTAAATTGGCTAGTCATTTTATGCTCAACTGATCTGATATACTTGCAGGTTATCATTTAGTCTGAAAATACAGATGGTAAAAGAATAATATACATAAAACAGTTTAAATGCCAGAAAGCATTTAATGAATATTGTTTTCATTTTGAGAATTAAATGTCAATCACAGGTGTTGTAACACTGCCAGTTATATATTACTTTACATTTATTTAATAGAATATAATTATGACAGTTTATTTAAGAGAACCACTACATTGCTCAAATAGTTTTTTTCTTTTATAAAGTCTTTACCAAGCTTAGATACTGCTAGATATTCCAACTTAATATGTTAGAACATGAATTGAGAAACATGAAAATATTCTTTTTCCTGAACATGTTGTGAAGTTCTAAGCTCCATTTTACCTCCAGGATTTGAAAGTGTTGACTACGTAAAGTAACACAAGAAACACACAAAGCATGGAACACACATATATGTTATGGTATAATTCTTTTCATTTGAGTATTATTTCTTGCAGACTCTCTGGAATATGCTTAGCATTGATAAGACTTACAGAAGATAAAAGTCTAACTTTTATTAGTCATTAAGTAAGACTCTTTTTAGTTCTAGTCAGAAAAACTGTATCTTCAAAAGGAAAAGCAAGACTAACTTCTACGACTGCAAGCATGTACACAGTTTAAAATGACATCTGCAACCAAAAATTCATCACAGCTGTACTATGATAGGTGTTACTAGTGACATCTATGGTAGAAGAAACTATTCAACATACTGTAATGGTTTTAATGGTTTAATTCATACTGTAATGGTTTCAAAACTAAGTATGTTATTTCAACTGGTAAAAGGTGAATAAATTTTACAGCTTTATACTCAAGCATAACCATAACTTACATGCTTTCTGTACAAAACTGCAACCCCGAAACCAAACTATTTCACATAAACACTTCAGAATCAAGGCACAAAAGTATCTCAGGACAATATGTCAGCTGACCTTGTGCTATTTCAGTTGGTTCCCATGATGGTTGTTGTTCTGCTGCAATGGAACTTAGACTCTTGATGGGCTTTGGAGTTGAACACTGCTTGCACCTAGCATTTAGAACAAGATACTGAGACTAACCAAACACTGATTTATTTATACTAGAAGCTTTCTGCACAAAAAAAAAAAAAAAAAAAATCTGATTTCCTTACTCAGTAGGAGTGCGAAAGTATTCTATTGCTGTTTAAAGTAACTATTTTACCAGACACACAAGCTTTAGACCACATCAAAGACTCTTAATGCTGCTTTTGAATTATCCCTGAGAAGAAATAAATCATTTTGGTCTGGAAAAGACCACCTTAGTGAACAGAAAGGAGGAAAACTGTACGTCAAAGCTGAGAGAGTTGGGGTTGTTCACCTTGGAGAAGAGAAGGCTTCGGGAAGACCTTATTGCAGCCTTTTAATATATAAAGGGGGCTTATAAGAAAGATGGAGAGAGACTTTTTACCAAGGTCTGTAGTGACAGGACAAGGGGCAACAGTTTTAAACTGAAAAAGGGTCGATTTACATTGTACAGAAGGATGAGGGTGGTGAAGCACTGGAACAGGTTGCCCGGAGAAGTTGTGGCTGCTCCATCCCTGGAAGTGCTCAAGGCCAGGTTGGACGAGGCTTTGAGCAATCTGATCTAGCGGAAGGTGTCCCTGCCCGTGGCAGGGGCGTTGGACTGGATGATCTTTAAAGGTCCCTTCCAGCCCAAATCACTCTATGATTCTAAGATCACTACATTGCTGAACATATACTCATATGTCACTGCTAAACATTATTCATACGTCACTACTTTGTCATTTAGCAACACAAACAACATCTGACTTTGTAAAAGCAGGAACAAATCTGAACTTGTAGCATGCTCTAAAAACACAACAGGGTTAGAGGAGAAATTTGGCTTTACCTATGTTAAAAAATATTAACTATGACTTGCTGGTGTATTTTCACTAGTAATTATAAATTTCACACATGACATAGTAAGCAAATGCTGCAAGTGGACGAAAATATTGAAGAATTGTTTTCAAAGTTGTTGTCATTTGCCTCAAGATATAAAATTAGAGAACAACTATTTTTTCCAAATTAAGCTTCTGTGCTAATATACTACAGTTAGAACTTAAAATAGACATACATTATCTTTTAGAATTACATGCAAAATGCATCATAAAAATCAATAGCACTAGTTCTGCTCAAGTGATATAAAACCAAACTCAATGAAGTTACTTTTTTCCTTTAAAAAAACCACCTAAACTCCAATAAAGTAACTTAGCTGTGAATTTTGTTTTTTATATGCAAGTGCGTGTGTGTTTATTTTTTTTTATACATATATATGAGTATACATGCATATGCACACACATATAAATATTTATACAGGTATTCAAGCTCATTCCTATAGCAAAAATAAATTTGCTTTTTGTTCTACTATAAGGAATCTTTTTTAGACTTTGCTAAGTATATGCTACTGATAAAAAAGCGTGTGGAACAAAGCTCTGAAACGTCAACATCCTTGTGAGGCTCCTTCCTAAATATCCTATAAACAATCAAGGAATATCTTATAGAGTGTTGGCTTTTACAATACAGCCATTTAAACAAAGAACGATGTCTGAAGATGAGTTGTGCGTAGCTGGGGAAATATATGGATTATGAAAGTGCAAGGGGAAATACTTTGTACTGGTGAAGATCCACTCCCAGTAGGAATACCCATATATTGCCTTTATTTAAAAAAGCTGTGGACAGCCATATCTGAAAAGGTCAAAAAAATATATGAGAATATATAGAGAAGTAATTATCTGTATTCATTTTATCAGGCCCTTATGTGAAACTTTAGGGTTCATGTGAAACGTGTAGTATTTCTGCACAGAAATTTTTTTACTGCCTACAGGACTGAAGTAGTGCAACACAGCACTCTGCTTGAACTTATTAGGTCTGCTAAGAGGGAGGACTCAATAGCTTGCATGAAGTACACTGGTATTTCTGAGCTCTGTAACTGCATGCTGCTGTGCAGTACTGGGAGAACATGCTGCTGCTAGCTCTCATTGAGCAGCAACACAGTATTGCATGGCATAGCACAGATACCAGACCTAGATGTGTGTATCGTACTCCACAGCCTTGGAACTGTGGAATTCAGAAACCCATTGAAGTTGTCTCTACAGTGACTGACATCCACAAAGAGGTAAGGCACTTTGCAGTTTTGTGGATCTCAATAAATGGCAAATGGTGAGGAAAGGCTGTCCAAAATCCCTTATTTCTTCCAAAACCCAAGCTTTCCCAACACTAGGAATGAGAGAGAGACAGAGAGAGATGTAGATTGACAGCCCGAAATTATTTTCTGCGTCTCTTTTTAAATATTATCTGTGTACAAAAAAAACAGCATACAGTTTTAAAGCAACGTATGTTTTGACTTTAGTCTAACAAGACCAGAAAATGGTATTTTTCTGGCCAGAAAATGGAAGATCTGGACTAAAAGACGAAGATTTAGGCATTTTGCAGCCTAAAGAGACTCATATGTGCATTTCCATCCCTGTAGTATACTGCCCTACCCACACACCACAGACAAGACCTGGGGGGCTGTGTAATTAAGGGCATAACATTTATAGTGCAAGATAAAGCCCAACTGCAGTTGAGTCCTTTGATACGAGGTAGTAGTATGACATTTCATCCCTGATCTCAGTACTACTGATCATGTTATGTATTTTGCATCGAAGAATTTTTGGGTAAGTTATCCCTTGAGCACTGCAGTTTGAATTACTGAAGAAAATTATATCTATCTATTAATGCAACTACTAAAATATCAACAAATACTTTTAACCTACCCATAATATTTTATGTTCCCTTGTAAAAGAAAAGGAGCTGAAAGATCTAATAATTCAAGATCATCTTCTGTGGATCTCACAGGAATAATGCATTTAAATCTTTTTGTAAGCTTCCAGACTTCTTTTAGTGTTCCACCTATTAAAAACAGAAAACCATGTTTTTTTTAAACTGTAATCAAGAATAAATTGAACAACTTGCATTTCTCGGCTGATTAGATGTTGATTTCAGAACCTTCAATAAAAATTGAGACCCACTATGGAAAACTTAAAAAATGGTCCATAACATTCTCACTCTTACTCAAAAACAGACTCAATAAAGAATCAAAGATGGACATTTATCAGAGCAGATGCCTTAATATCTTTCTCATAGCTATCACTGTAACCATGAAGTTGTATTTAGTTAGCATCACTTTCATATAATTTCTCCTATGATTTTACTAGCAATTTTCTTGGGGGGAAAAAAAAAAAGAATAAACTGACTTTTGCAATTGCTCCTAAGTAAGTGTTTTTTCAGCTTTTAAGTGGCAAAATTCTATGAATTTTTAACCAGCAGTTTATGAAAAAGTAGTTATTCAACCATGTCATAAATGACATGAGGTGGGAAATGCAGAACAACCAAACTTCATGCTAATTTGAGTGCTACTAAATTGTGGCCATGCTAGGAACACAGCAAAAATTTAATATATTACAGCTGGAACCCTGAGATTTTCCAATTCCAGTGAGAGGAAAAAGTTCTTTCAAATTTATTATAAATCACGGGATAACCTGTCTTCAGTCTCTGTAGTATAGACTGCAGAACTGATTACGGAATCTTTCTGACATTTCACCAATTCAGTGGAAATGTGGTAAATTTATGAATTTAACACACAGAGAACAGTTATTTGGAAATAGTTTAACAAAAATATATGATTTAATCAGCTCGTAAACAACAATAAAAAAAGTGAGCCAACTGTTTTAAAATAAATATATTCTACAACTGTGCTGTTTACCACTATCTATAAGTAAGATGTTTCAAAGACTTTATGACAAGTAATTATGACACTGGATTGTAAAATATTTATTGCATGTAATTGTTTCTTGTATTGCAGAGGTAACTAGAGAAGAAAATAAAACTGATAAAACTACATTATTACTCAGGATGAAAAAATGCACAACAACATGAAACCTCCTCAATGAACTCAACATCTAGTTAAAAAAATAAAGAAAACACAGGCAGAGATATTTTAAATGGCTTCCCAAAAGGTTAGAAGACAAAGGTCTTCCAAGTACAGTGACACAGTTAAAGCCTCTCTTATACATTTGAACTCTCATTCAAGGGATTAGCATACAAAATTCAGTGTAGTTTTAACTGATATTCCTAAAAGGTCTCCAAAATTTAAACTTTGTTGTAATACAAAGTTACATCAAGCAAATGTATTCTGGCTTCTAAGAGACTGGCATAAACCACACAGAACTACCAGGGGTTGACCATGATACGAATCACAGTGACTTCATGTACAAATAATGAGGATATGCAAGGAGCATTAGTCTACTTGTTAACCGTAGCATTTCACTCTTCAGTTCAACTAATCTGTAGCAATGGTTATGGATTCCCCACACTCCCTGTGGAGGCTCACGTAAAATTCTGTCCATTATCCAATTGTTTCCTCAATTCCAGCCCAATAGATGCCAAACACTCAAAAAGAAGTCCTTGCTTCAGCATAATGATTATAGGGAAGAATAGAGTACTGTGTTGTAGAAGAGCAAATTGCTTGTGTTTGACAAATGAGTAGAATCTAGACCATGTCTGTCTAACAAATGTCATAATGTGTTTGGCCTTTGAGGGTTGTCTGTATCTGGAAAAGTGCTGGGAAGATTTCTAGGGAGACTTCAAAATATCCACCTCCAAAAACTTAAAGATAAAAATTAAAATAGCATGTAGCTTTGGCAAGGTTCATGATCAATCTTCTGGGAAAAAAGTGTTAAAACTTTTTATTATGATTACGCCTTTTCCTTGTGCTCCAACATGAAACACATATATCCACATACACACATACTTAGCTGCTGGCACTTTAATATCTGAAAAAAGATTTACGAAGTTATATTGTTGTTATTTTAGGAAAATAGAATAGAAAATAGATTCTTTTTTCTTTTGTTAAGGTTAGATTTTGTTAAGGTTAGATAAGGTTAGATTGCCAAAAAAAAAAAAAAAATCAATTTTGGAACATGTCAGAAATAAAGCAGCTATCAGAACTAGTTGAATATAAAACAAAGCAGAAAACAGAAGGCGTTTTGTCATTGACCCTTACACAAAGGACCATCTGACTTACATTCACTTATTCACACCATTACTTGAGCACAATTGAAGACTTTGTTTTAAACTTGGAATGGTACTATATACAATTATTTATTACTTTTATTCTATTCAAAACATTCCTTATTAGTATTCTTGCTAAATTGCTTTGTTTAAAGTTCAGTGGCTATTTCTCTTCCCTGAGGAAACCTGATAAAACCCAAACCAAACAAAAAAACCCCCATGCTGCGAGCTCTATTAATCTGAAACAACACTGACATCCAGAGGCTGACAAAGTTAATTGTAGGCTTGTATTATCAGAAGCCTTCCAAAACGTTTCCACATCAAGTCTAAAACTAGGTTTTTTTAGAAGACTCAGCAAGTTTTCAAATCAGAACTGAAAAATCAGTAAGCACAGCTTGAAAAAAACATATTCGGATATTAATTTTAGCAGAATCAACAATAAACTTATTGGTAGAGTTTTAAAATAGACAGAAGCACCTTACAAGACCTTCACAGATGACTTTTTCCTGTTTGCACAATAGTAACTTAAAGTTCCAGATGAGTTTTTCTTTTCTTTAAAGATGCCTTTATGATCGTCACTACTTACACTGAATACAACTTCAGCATAACTGTTAGATACTCAGAGTGGACAGCGTGCCATAAGAAGTGGTATATTTGCAATTTATCTTACCTTCTATCATAAGCAAAGTATCTTCAGGCTGTTGAAGCATTTCATCATGCTTTACAAAATGGATAGCTATTTTCCTTTGTTTCTGGTCTTGTATAGTCCACATTACAGAATCATACCAGGATGTATTGTGTAATTCTGGGTTTGGGGCAGTAATGCCAGAGCCTTGTAAAATAAAGTCAAAGTCATCTCCATCTGGAACTTCTTGCCTAAAACCATTTCCAAAATGAATAAGTGAATTCTAACAGCTTCTTCTCAGGCAATCTAGCAACAAGGATGACAGTACTCTGAATAAATATTAAAATATAGTCATGAGAGTTAAAACATATACAGGAAAAATAACTTTGTTGTTATATCAGTTTAAACATTTAGAGTTGTATAGCAAATTATGACAAGATAATTCATTTCCATGTTAATAAATATGCTAAGTAATCTAATCTTACCTAGGAGCAGAGGCAGCCTAGAGGCTTCATCCACACATATATAAATCCATGGAAAAACAAATATACCAAGCTTTATGTGTTTCAGTTGTGCCTTAAAAGGGTCACACAACTGCATATGACTTCAGTAGAGTGAAAAGACCGTATAAGCTCATATAATTTCAAGTTTTATGTTCTAGCCTATTTTACTTTGCATATTTTGAGGGGGGAAAAAAAGAAAAAACGGCAGGAGCAGAATAGCTTCATATATGTACTGTAAAAATCTGCAACTCTGCACCACACAGTTTCTGTCCTACTAGGGTGCACCATTCATGCATTTCCAGTTGTCATCCACAGAGAAGCAATGCAGGCCATTCAAATTTTACCAATATTACCAACAACAGGCAAAAAGCCACTGGTTGGCACACAAATTAAAAATGCATTAGAATGTTTTCTCCTAAGCAAGACAGACCTGTTGGCTTCAGGTGGAATATGAACTGTGACAAAAAGGACAATTAAAAAAAAGGCAAAAGCTTGGGCTATTTCATAAAACACTGAAAGACAGTAGATGCCAAGTTTCAGAGTGGAGTTAAAGAAAAAATACCATCAACTCCTGAAGATAATTCTGACGATTTCACTTTCAAACCCAAGAGCAGCTGCTTCCACCAGTGAATAGAATAATTCCTGCCTATGAAACCAAACTTTGATATTCTTCTGCTATGACTGTAGAAATGGCACACGAGGTCTTCCTGAACCTGAACTTTCAATTCATGAACATAGTGCTGTTCTCATGAACTCCTTCCACCCGTGTTTCTGGATTACTATTTTAAATGCAAAAGCAATGGACCTAACATAACAGGTCATCGTTCCAGATATACCCATTAAACTCTTCCAGCCTCTATAGCCTGCCTGTAGATTTCCCGCAGAGGCAGGAATGGAATGAATTGTCTTTGAACTAAGCTACACACGAGGGTTGAAACTTCTGTAATGTGGATACATGAATAAAACTACATCCATGTGTATCGGTATTTTGCTATTTACAGAGAAGCTTCCAGTCGAAGTCTAAAAAACAAAAATACATCTCTCTCAAGGATTTTATTCCCTAAGCGTTATATGCATCTTACTGCATAAAGTATTAAAGGATCAAACTTGTATTGAACTTTGTTCAGTCAGGCTCTTCAGCATATGCTAAAACATGAAACAACTACTTCTGCCACAGCAGAACATGTAGGAGAGAAGGATGCACCTAAATCATGTTTCCTTCCTGGGCCTCTTAACTCACCCAATCCAGGCTGCAGTACAGCTCCACTGTATTTCACTGATTCCTTCCACCTGATGCACACAGTTGAGAAAAGAGAAGCTAAATGTCTTGGAAAGCACTGCAAGTAGTCCCATCATTGCAGCAGGAGGGTGGTAGCAGTAGTAAGAAATATGCTAACTAAAGCCTCACAAATCTATCTGGTTAAAAGCCTGCCCTAATTCTGTGGCAAAGAGAAGGCAGCAATATGTGAAACAGAAGGAGACTCGAACAGAAATTAAGACATTAACAAGTCAAGAATATATAAAAAGGCTATAGTAGTCATTGTGGGAAAATTGTGGGATAAGGATAAAGTTCATAAGGAACAAACACAAATTCTATCAATTGTATCTGCTTATTACTATACAGAGTTGGCAAATATATCAAAAAAGTGACAAAAGTGGCAGACATAGTTGGTAATTATCTCCTTTCTATACTTGGTAATAAAGACCATGTACTTGTATGTTGTGAAGATGATGAAGCACTTCCTCTTACATTAGCAACCAAGAGAATGTTATAACAACATCTGATAAGGACCAATATTGTTAAAGCTGCAAGCATGCTACTTTGCATCCAAAAGCTGTAAGAAAAGGACAGTAGGGGTATTTTCTTGCCTCAGTGATGTTTGTATCTAATAAATCTTGATTGTGCAAAAAATTTCAAAAGGCTAGGAGAATTCTAATGCGCCATCATTTAAAGAAAGCAATAGTTTACACCAGTAACAATAAAGCTGTTTGCTTGGGACTGATATTAGGCTGTCAGGCAAAAAGAAGTGATACAAGATTCAGATGACCATGAATAGCACTGTAACGCATGTCACTCAATAGTTAACCAAAAATAGGCCATTTCAAACAAACTGACTTTCATTTTTAGATGAATTTAAACCAGAAATGGCATATGATTATTTGACTGAGCATTATTTGATACAAAGACAAATGGCATTAAAGGAGAAATAACAATGATAAAACGGTCAGTGAACTGACTCAGGTCAGAAAAAAGACAAAAATACCAAGGTGAATGGTGTTTCTCTGATATTTTTAGATCCAGAAAAGATGCCTTCTCTGGAAGATACACTTTAGTCAAAGATATTTTATTCATTCACTTGGAGACTATCATACCTTTTCGCATATCCTATTTTAAAACTGCAATACAGAAACAGGTACTTAAATACAACTTCAGTACGGGAAAAACCGCACTGCTAAATTTGAAAATAAAGAAAAATTATTGTTTTGAAAGCACTCAAAGGATTCTGTAAATGAAACTCATCTGATGCTTTAAAATTTTCCTACCTATTGTCCGTGAGTTTCAAATCTTTTCTCAAAATGAAATACATTTCTATTCAGCTCATTTTACACAAAAAAGAGGATGAAAATACACTGAAAATCTAGGCATCCCAAAACATATAGAACAATTCCTAATTATTTTTATTGTGCGAAACACTTACAAAGAGTTGCATTTGGAACAATGAAGTTTAATAGACTGATAGAGCTTCTGGGGTTTATAAGTTCTCAGCTTTGCTCTAATGCGATACTGTTGAGGAGCTGTGCTGTTCAGAATGGTTTTCAGTTCTGTGTTATTCAAATCCTGATGATCTGTTAATACTGCAAAATAACAACGGGGGGGGGAAAAAAAAAAGCCATGCATACCTATTAAACACCATAATATTTGGAATACGGGAGATGGCCATTGCGGGCATGCATTTTCTCTTAATCCCCAGCTTCTCTTCCCTTCCCAGTTGCAGCCTCAGTTTCATCAATACAACATGTTACTACAGTCTTTAAGATAAATTACAACAGGCCGTGGGAGCATGGTGTACTTCAGGGTACAGAAATTCAGCATGTAGAAAAAACCAAATGAAAGTAGAATATATAAATATGCTCTATTCCCTTAAAAATGGAATAAAACCAATGTAACATTCATAAACTTATACTCTTAGAATAGCTCTTCCTATAATAAGTAAAACATATTATTTCAACCTTTGAAATAACCTCTGAAAAATATTTTTGTTCTTTAGTAAAAATCAAATTCACCTTGAGGTCAAAGTGTTTCCTACCTGTAACTGATAACTGCTGACATCTCTGTAAGTGTGATTCAAGATCTAAAATCAAGAAGAATTTCCTAATTATTTTCCTTCCTTCTTTTCTTCTTTATCATTTGGACACACAAAACCAAACAGATAGATACACACACAAAACCAAAAGCTGAACAAAGGAAAATGGAAATCCTAATAATGTATGAAGACAATATAGCAAAAGGAAAAAACAAAGCAGGAGACAAACATTAGATACCAAGAGTTAATATATTTGAGGAGAAATTAGTGTATACATTAAATAGCAATACTCATCAAAATGAACACTTTTCAAATGTATACTGTGAATGATACTGCTGACATAAACTGTATTCATCCCCCTGTAATCTCTCTGGACAAGAGCATAAATATATTATTCTAAAACCAATATGGACTGCCTGCTCCCTCCTATGAACAATCTCTACTACACATACACAGTGCAGTAAATATGTGCAAAATTATTTCTAAATTTGCAGTGTTATGGTTTAGACATGAAGTATTTATTTATTCTTGACTTTTGCACCCTCTAAGAAATATCCTGTCACAGTATGTTAATAATGGCTAAGTAACATAAGATTTTAAAAGCTAGAAGCAAAGATGCAGACTATGTCCAATCAGCTTTAGAGTTTAGTTCACTTTTAGTTATTCTAATTCTGGGCTAAAAATACCATTCAAAGAATAATATGGGATCTGTAGAACTGTCTATAAGATACTGCTTTTCCATGGTGCTGCACCTTGCAACTCTGCCACTGACACAACTTTCCATCCAATGCCTTTAGAACGGCTCCTCAGCAAGCAGCTGTTTAGTAGTGTTTTCAGTGCCTGTCTCTGAAGAATCCCCCTTTAGAAGGAGTGAGTTACGTCACTCTGCTTTATGATCTAATATGGTATGATTAAGAACACCATCCGTGTCTAATAATTTACTCACTATCTCCTATGAAAGTATTTTTCCATGTATATGAAAGGCTTCTGCTGCAAGACAAAAGGATAGCGTAATGTCCATTCCCAGTCTAATAATCCAAAAGAATTCTCTAAGGCTTTGTATGTGAAAGTAACATTATACACTTAGAGAAGCAGTAACTGTGACTTTATCTTGACCATATATATGTTAGAAGAAAGAGCAAATCAGCTTTCAATTGCTCTTACCTGTAATGTTGTTAAAAGTGCCGTCTAATTCCACTGAAGACATGCTTTCCGTATGCTCACAGTCTGCCAGATCCACGGATTCTAAGAATCTAAAAATGAATGACTAAATATTTTATGACTTAAAGAAGTCTTTCATATATATACATACACACACACACATACATGGGACTATACATACACTTATATGAAACCTACTGTTTATCAATACACAGCTATAATGTTCAGACATAAATTTTCCAGCAGAGACATGAAACTTAATTGAGCCTGAAGTTGAAGGAGTATATATTGATGATGCAGATGAGACATTCCTTTCCAAATCACTTCTGGAACTTTAAACACAATATAGTGCCAAAAGAAATCTGTACTACTGGAAACAGAATTCCTGATAAAGGAATGTGGACTTTGGTTACTTAGCCCTTCCTAAGGGAAAAAAAGTGTGTTTTTAACCTTTGGAAGAAGAGGCAGGCCACTCAGGAGGACTACAAGGATGTCGTGAGGTTATGCAGGGAAAAAATTAGAAGGGCCAAACCCAACTAGAACTTAATCTGGATACTGCCATACATTAGCAACAAAAGGAGGACTAAGAGAATCTCCATCCTTTATTGGATGCGGGGGGAGACATAGTGACAAAGGATGAGGAAAAAGCTGAGGTACTTAATGCCTTCTTTGCCTCAGTCTTTAACAGCAAGACTTGTTGTTCTCAGGGTACCCAGCCCCCTGACCTGGAAGACAGGGATGGGGAGCAGAATGAAGCCCCCATAATCCAAGGGGAAATGGTTAATAACCTGCTACACCACTTAGACACACACAAGTCTATGGGGCCCCATGGGATCCACTCAAGGGTACTGAGGGAGCTGGCGGAAGTGCTCACGGAGTGTGCGGGCGTATTGCTCCAAAAAGCCACTTTCCATCATTTATCAGCAGTCTTGGCTAAACGGGGAGGTCCCAGATGACTGGAGATTAGCAAGTGTGATGCACATCTACAAGAAGAGCCAGAAGGAGGATC